GGCGCTGCAATTATGTGAGCAAGTTGCTGCAATCCATTAGAGGTCACATAAGCCAATCGTGCAAGCCCCAGGCGCGGTTGGTCTGCGGAGCCCCCACGGGTAAGCCATGGCTGCGCGGGGTGTGATCGGCGGGGCAACGAGTCGCAAGGAGGCAACCTTCCCGCCTGATGTACCTCCCCAGAGTCTAGGCTTATCGTTTCTTGCTATTGCCAGAGCGGTCTGCACCAAGAAACTATGTTCATATGCTCACGGCCTTCCTCATCCGCCTGTTCCTCCTTCTCCCTTCTCCCTCCTCTCCTCCCCCCTCCCCCTCCTCTTCCTCCTCCTCCTCCTCCTCTTCGTCCTCCTCCTCCTCTTCGTCCTCCTCCTCCTCCTCCTGCTCCTCCTCCTCCTCCTCCCCCGATTCCTCCTCCATCGTCCACCTCTTGGGGTATGACGGCTTCCCCAACCCCTTGTTCCACTGCATGCTCCTCCACATCCCTGACCAGGGCACCTCGGCTGGGCATCGTTTCTGGATGGGCTGGTGGGGTTACGCAAAATGTTTAGAATAGGGGAATGGAACACTACACAACTCATACCAAAGAAATTGACCGACCTTGCAATGTGGAAATCCGTGTTGAGATTTCCACGAAAGAAAGCTTCCTTGAAAGAACGCAAACAAATCCCCGTGTAATCAAATGACCAAGTGCTTGGCTTGAGGCAATGTGGCATCAGACTGGGAAACAACAAGTCGTGGGATATACCACGCAGTTCAGTTTATCTGGCAGCGGAAAAAACTCAAAAGGAAACTCACGTGGATTGAGAGCGCCGCTTGCAACAACTTTGGGAATACAGATGACAAGCCCAATAATCAAGGATGCTGAGAGACGGCACGCTCACTGAATGCCCAACAAAGGGGTCGAAAGAGTGAGAGAACACCCGTTCTCCGTGGCCCAATTATCATTGTGATTCCTGGCGTTCGAGTCCCTGGCGACTCAGTCGGTGACCTTGACGGCGGGCTGCTACGGTTCTTCCACAGAGATGTCGGCTTCCTTCAATGGTCGTGCTTCCGAAATCGTTGGGGCTCGAGCCGCAGAGTTCTTGCCAATCCCTTTTCGGCTTCCTCGCTTCCCCTCGGGATTTGTTGACTCCCGAGCTGACGCCCGAACGAACGAACGAAAGAAGCCGCGCCCAAACGGCGCATTGGCAAACTAACTAACAGCACTTGCGATCATGAAAAATGCAGGGCTCAAGTGTGCAAGCGCCCGAGCATCGCCGGGCCTCGGAACGCAGTGCAATAGCATGCTGGTGCTGCGCGAGGGCGGACGGCAGAGCACCGGCCCGGAAGGGGGAGAGAGGGAGGGGAGGGGAGGGGAGGGAAGGGGACGAGGAAGGGAAGAGCGAGACCAGACTGAACAGTTTTGAACCACAGCCGAATGCCACGCAGAAGGGTTTTGGAATATGGTTTGCAGCCTGTCGCGGACGCTCATAGCTGCTGTGAACGTCTTCGTCCTTCCATCAGTGCACAATGGACTTGGGTTTGTCGGTCTCGTCGACAGTTCTTTCAAAATCTCCGTCTCTCAAAGACATTTCGCGGGGCGCTCCCTGTGTTTGAAGGAGCGCGATATACCGTCGCTTGACTGGAAAGGGGGGAGGAGGAGGAGAGGGGGTGGAGGCAAGCTAGGTGCGCTCGCGTCATATCTGACGTCCTACCCCTCCCTCCCATCCCTTACCATGGCACTGATTTTCTCCATCCGCGGACGCATGTCGTAGCGGACCTGTGGCTCCGCGCGCGCGTGCGTAGTGGGTGGTGGTGCACGTGCGTGCGTGCGTGCGTGTGTGCGTGGTTGTCGTGGTGGTGGTGGTGGTGGTGGTGATGATGGTACTGGTGGTGGTGGTGGTGATGGTGGTGGTGGTGGTGCTGGTGGTGGAAGTGCTGGTGGTGGTGGTGTTGGTACTGGTGCTGGTGCTGGTGGTGGTTGTGGTGGTGGTGGTGGTGGTGGTGGTGGTGGTGGTGGTGGTGGTGGTGGTGGTGGTGGTGGTGGTGGTGATGGTGGTGGCGGTGCGGCGCGGTGGTGGCGGGCGGATGGGCGCGCGAGAAAAAGGCCCGCGCTGGGGCGAGAACGCCATCCTGAACGACGGAGGCCAAACACCGATCCGAAAATGAGGCCCACGCTGCAGCGGGAGCACGATTCGGAACGATTCGGGAGCAGAAATGAGGCCGGCGCCTCAACGAGAGCAGCATTTTGGGAAAAAATGACGCCGGCGCCTCAGCGAGAGTCGTTTCCCGGGATTTCCCGGGCATCCTGTGTGTAAAAAAACAGTACGCGGAGGGTGCGCAGCTATCACCCGGACGCCATCAGGGGAAGGATTCGAGAGCAGAAATGAGGCCGGCGCCTCAACGAGAGCAGCATTTTGGGAAAAAATGACGCCGGCGCGAGAGCAGCATTTTGAGAAAAAATGACGCCGGCGCCTCAGCGAGAGTCGTTTCCCGGGATTTCCCGGGCATCCTGTGTGTAAAAAAACAGTACGCGGAGGGTGCGCGGCCATCACCCGGACGCCATCAGGGGAAGAGGGAGAGTATTTTCATATTGAATAATTGTGGAGGGGGGGGGGGGGGGGGGGAGGGGAGGAAACTAGATGCGCTCGCGTCCATATCTGACGTCCTCCTCCTCCATCCTTACCATGGCTTAGATCTCAACTCTATTCGCACAGTCGGATGATCCCACCACCCACCCATTGTCTCTCCGACTCTCACGGTGCATTTAGATATATGATATACACCGCAGAGACTCCCCCTCCCCCATCCCCATCAAGATCTCACTCTCGCGTAGCATCGGAACCTATAGAGAATTTTTTGCGTGGGCGCCTTGACCGCCTCGCGCCCGACAACTGTCGTCCTACAAAAGAACCTCAGCAACCCCCACCTGTGCACTCGCGCGGGAATCACCATCCGATGGTTTTTTCGGGGGGGGGGGGGGCATTTTCTGGATTTTGGGGCCTATTTGGACGGACCGAGAACCATGCCGCGGCATGGAACTGGAAACAATGACGCCAACGCTGCAGCGGGAGCACGATTCGGAACGAGCGGAAGCGCGGAAATGAGGCCAACGCTGCAGCGGGATTCGGAACCAGCGGAAGCGCGAAAATGAGGCCAACGCTGCAGCGGGAGCACGATTTGGAACGAGTGGAAACCCGAAAATGAGGCCAACGCTGCAGCGGGAACAACATTTGAAAAAAAAACAAAAAAAAAAATCTCTTTCCGAGGAATCTGGTGGGTAATATCCCGGCAAAGCAACCTAACAGCGATATGTAGAAGCATATCTGAAAGCATTCCCCTTAAGATTCATATGAACATCCAGTTGTAGAATTCTGCTGTTCTCGCAGTCGTAGTCGCATTCGCGATGACAGTAGCAGCGGCAACGGCAGTCGCAGTCACAGCCTCAGCCTCAGCCTGCCTCAGCCTCAGCCTCAGCCTGCCTCAGCCTCAGCCTGCCTCAGCCTCAGCCTCAGCCTGCTTCAGCCTCAGCCTCAGTCTGCCTTCTGCCTCGGCCTCAGCCTCAGCCTGCCTCAGCCTCACCCTGCATCAGCCTCAGCCTCAGCCTCAGCCTGCCTCAGCCTCAGCCTGCCTCAGCCTCAGCCTCTGCCTGCCTCAGCATCAGCCTCAGTTGCTTCAGCCTCAGCCTCAGTCTGCCTTCAGCCTCGGCCTCAGCCTCAGCCTGCCTCAGCCTCAGCCTGCCTCGGGCGCAGCAATCAGCCTGCCTCAGCATTCAAAAGTTGGCCCAGGAAAAAGGGAGTTCTGGGAACTAGAGCACGAAGATGGTAGTGGCATACTGTTGGCTTACGGGCATTCAAAAATCAATGCCCAGGGAATGGAGATTAAGTTCTGGAACTTGAAGAACTACGAAGTGGCCTAAGTTGGGCTCCGGGGCATCCAAAATGTGGCCCGGGGGGGGAGGGTGGGGGGAGGGAAGGGAGTTATGGGAATTCGAAGAGAACGAAAGTGGCCTAAGTTGGCTCCGGGCATCCCAAATGTGGCCCGGGGGGTGATTGGAGTTTTGGGTAAGTCGAGTGAACGAAGTGGCCTACAGTTGGCTCCGGGCATCCAAAATGTGGCCCGGGAATGGAGTTCTGGGAGCACCAAGAGCGATTTTGCGAGGATGTCCCAAGCGATTTCGGCTTCGGCGGCAGCCTGTCCGGGTCCCGCCCAGACCCCCATGAGGAGTCATGATGCTCTCTTTTGAAACCACTAGAAACCTATCAGCAAGAGCTGTTAGGTAAAAACAAAACGCGGAGGGGGGCCGGACATCTTCCGGACGTCATCAAGGGAGAAAGGAGAGTAGTATTCACATTTTGTAATTTTGGAAGGAGCGGGAGGGTTGTGCCGTCTGTGGGTCAGTCTCATCATCACCTCTCCCTTGACCACGACGTTGTTTACCACCATCATGCTCGCTGTCTCTGCTGCCATTTCAAAATCAAACCAAGCCCGGTCTTTCGCACTTCCACGGTTGCATCTGTCGGTTACGAACTCCTTCAACCAAAAGGGCGGTCGTGAGTTCTATGTCAAGGAGATATATCCCCCGAAGTGGAACTATATCTGGCTCGAGAACCCGATCAACTATTTGAATTTCCGTACCAAAAATCTCATCACCTTTTGTTGCGCAAGGCTGATCCTGAACGTAGCTCGCCCCTCTTCGGGGGTAACACCCCAAGCCGATGAATCATGTCCGGCCCCTGCTCCACCCGAGGCTCTCCCATCTGCTCGAGACGAGCCACGAGGGCCTGAGTGGACCAGCCTGCAACTACTGTCCATGCCGCCATGGAAAGAGAGACCTGCAGCCCACGGCGCGCGCATCCGCGCAGCCGTCGGCGGGCCCGGCGGGGGGGCGCGGGGCCGGTGCAGATCGGAGCTCGGCGCCCGCCCCCGCAAGGGCCGCAGCGACGGCGAGGAGGTCCTGTGGCGACACTGCGCATCGCACAGTCATCGGCCTGACCTAAGGAACGATAAATAAGGAACGAAGACCCTTTTTTTACCCCAAGGAATAACGCATAGGGAACGATAAATAACAAATAACGCATAAGGAACTGTAGATAACGCATGCAAGCCCAAGGAACGACCGAGCCCCTTTTGAAAAGGAAGCGTCCCTTATTCAAGCCGCTCACTGTAGCAAGCAGGCTGCAGAGGACCAGTATCGGCGTCACTGTCGGCGGCAAGGATGCGACACCAACGCATTTCCCAGCACCAAGGCCAACAAAGTAGCAGGGGTCGCCCCGCCCAACCTGACCAGCACGGAGCAGCGGCTCTTCACCCAGCGGGTCCAACATGTCACTGTTCAGAGTGACGGCTACGACCAACCAGGTGGTTTTCCTATGGGATCTGGAGTTGCGCCAGGCTGCAGTACAATACCCATTTCCTTCAACTTCGGGTACGAGCAGCGGGTGGGCGACTGGCTAGACGAGACCATGAATGACACTAAGCCCGTCGCCACAATCTCCTCAGTAACACACAGTACCATCGACCGTTCACTTTACCTGCACGTCGACGACATCCTCAATATCTACACAGTCAGCAAGGGCACAGCGAGAGCAGCGGCCACGATTCTCAACAATAGCAAAATCATCTTCGACAAAGAACCGCGGGCACCACCAGAACCGCGACAAGGAAGAGATCGTGGGAGGGTTACGGACCAGAAGGGAGAAGCGTCTCCCAGCACGTCATGTGCAAGGGCGAGTGCTGCGCACAATCAAGTATCTCGGCGGCCACTTTCACCACGCAGGCAGCAACACCATCGAGATCGACCAACGAATTCGGATCATCAAGCGCATCTGGAGCATCATGAGCAAGTTCTGGCATCGTAGAGTTTCTTGGAGGTCAAAGAGCGTCATCTTCATACATGGAGTGGTTGGCGCAACGGCGAGCGGCATGGAGTCATACCTCCTCAAGGACACCGAGTACCGCAGGCTCGACACGACCATACTCAAATACCTACGCGTGCTGACGCAAGGACGAGCCACCATCAAGGACAACGTCACCTTCAAGACCATGAGCAACAAAGAGATGTTCAAGCATTGCCCGATATCACTGACGTAAATCAAGATGCGGGAGCGACGCATTCGCATGATTCAGGCTCCAATCAAATGCCGCACGGACAACAACCAGCGGTCACCGCGCTGTTCGGAATTATCCTGTTTGAGAAGGCAAAAATCACGGAGACGGCTAACCAGTGGGCTAAGCAGTACTACCAGGACGTCCTCTCTCCTGGAGCTCGACAGCGCTGAGCAGCGCAGCTAGGTATGGAATGGCAGCATCACGCAACTCTATCATGACGCTATCCGAGACGGTCACGCGTATCGACGCGGCAGAATTCAGCGCCAAAGCATCAACAGTATCTATGCTCGTTCCTGGACTCGAACATCAAGCAGAAGAACCAGACGCAGGAGAGAAGCTTGGCGTTTTCAAATGCGATCTGCTACTGGAATCCGGAGAAGTCTGTTCCAGAGTTTTCTCTACATGGACGGCGCTATGTGCTCACCAGACTGCGATGAAAGGAGGCGGAAACAAGTTTCGATCAGCGGCAACAGCAGTTACTGTCACAAATCAGTGCTCGGTACGTCGTACACCAGGCAGTCCTAGATCGAGCTCACGCACAAGATCATTCGCTGCGTCCCCTCAAACACAAGCGTGACCTTGCAGATAATACCGTATTCGAGTATCCGGTGCTTCCAGTTCCAGATCTCTCATGCTCACAATGTCCAGATCTGTAGCCACGTCTACATCTGCCCACGTTGCAAGATCATGTTTGCGCAGTGCATGAGCAAACTGAAGAACAGGAGGTATCTTTGGACGTAGGTCTCTACGTATCATCATGGCCTAGTGCGCACCAGACACAGCAATCGCCGAGGTGGCCAGCAGCGCGGCCGACATCCAGCGCAGCCGCAAGGCCAAGAAAACCCACCGCGGCGGCAAGGGCAGACAAGGGCGACAGAAAGGGGCCCTGGACAATGACGTTGAGATGGCGCTAGAAGCAAAGGGCAAAGCCGCGGCAGCATCGGCAGTGGCGGCAGGACCTACACGAACAGCCGTGGCAGGAGCTGCGCGAGGAGCAACGCTAAAGCGCGGGGGAGAGGCATATCACACCGAGGTCGACCCCAAGCTGAAGAAGCTCCTCACCGTCCTCATCGAGCAAATCGTGGCCAACACCAAGCAGCTGGTGCAGATCGTGGTGGCGGTCTCCAGCACGTACCGCATGCCAGTCCAGGGCAACACCATCAAAGCACCTCGAGTGTGCAGGAAGATCTATGCAGAATGTGCAAGGAGGCGGGCACAGGTCACACTTTAGGGCCGCCCGAGGGGCATCTCTACATGACACGTATGTCGACCTTCTCTGCAAAGGACGCCGGCAGCACGACAAGGGCCGTCCTGGCCGAGCATGGGACGTACATCGGCACGGTCAGCTCCGGATCCGCGACGACCCTCAACAAGGCGAAGCACATCCGCCTCAACATGTGCTACGACAGCAACCAGGCGAAAACGATCTACGTCGAGGCGGACCCATGGGTGGACGCGGAGACGGAGGAGGAGTCCACCGAGGAGCTGGGCAAGCAGCCCACCATCAAGGACACGATCCATCGCGCCCTACTCCAGATTGCGGCGATGGTGAGGGAGGCACGGCATCCACGGGGGTAATGGAGGATGAGCTCGCAGCCTGGCTCGTTCGCTCCAGGCTCGGCGCGCGCGGCGCGGAAGAGCCAGTGAAGATGTCGCCCTGAGGCGTCGACTGTGCGGGCCCGTCGATACTTGACGGCGACGGCGGCGGAAATTTGCGGATTGTGTTCCCTGTGGGGGCCCTGGCCGTCTTGGGTGCCGAAGCATTTGGAAAAGCGAGCACATATCTGAAGGCTCGGGACAGGATACGCAGACCACAAGGCTTGCTACAGTCTTAGTAGTGTAGAAATTCACAGACGGCTCTCAGGGGGGCACCGAGCGCGAGTAATGACGGCCCCCCGCGACGCCCCACAGCTTCTTTTTGGGGGGGGGCGTAGGGGTCTCAAGAGGTTTCGGAGACCATGGGCCACGATCTGATGATGAATGCACTGCCACCTCCCCAGTGGCACAGCGGCCAGAGCCGAAGGCCAGCGTTCAGAGACGACACTGCCCCTGAAATCCCACCAGCCCTTTGGGCGTGAGTGGTTTAGAGAGCCCGCTCTGTTCTCAACCCCCCTTCTTCCCCTTCGGGGAGGGGTTTACCCCTCCCCCTACCCCTTCCCCCTGGACCTGGAGAGGGCGCCCCGCGGGTCGTTGGAGGGGTCTTTTTCGACTCCTGGGAGGGCCAAAAAACGACGACCCTCACGAGGATTCTGGCCCCGAGGGGGGAGGGAGCTTGGTCCCTGAACTCGTCGTTGAAGTACAAAACATTGATTTTACGAGGGTTTCGGCCCCATTGTGGCCTTCTGAGGGGGCCGCGCTCATCTTCCCTCATAGCAAAAGCATTGATTTTACGAAGGTTTTGGGCTCATTTTGTCCTTCCCAGGGGGCAGCTCTCATTTGCGCTTCTCAGGAGGTCGCAAGAGGCCCCAAGATGGCCCCAAGAGGCCCCCAGGAGGCTCCCAAGAGGCCTCCAAGGGCCCCCAGCGGCCCCCAAGCGGCCCCAAGAGGCCCCCAAGAGGCCCCCAAGAGGCCCCCAAGAGGCCCCACGAGGCCCCAAGAGGCCCCCAAGAGGCCCCCAAGAGGCCCCCCCCCAAGAGGCCCCACGAGGCCCCCAGAGGCCCCCAAGAGGCCCCCAAGAGGCCCCCAAGAACCCCCAAGAGGCCCCACGAGGCTCCAAGAGGCCCCCAAGAGGCCCCACGAGGAGCCCGAACGACTCACACCAGGACGAGGGGCCCGAACGACTCACACCACGAAGAGCCCGAACGACTCACACCACAAGGAGGGGCCCGAACGACTCACACCAGGACGAGGCGCCCGAACGACTCACACCACGAGGAGCCCGAACGACTCACACCACGACGCGGGCCCCGAACGACTCACACCACGAGGGGCCCGAACGAGTCACACCAGGAGGAGGGGCCCGAACGACTCACACCAGGATGAGGGGCCCGAACAACTCACACCACGAGAAGCCCGAACGACTCACACCAGGACGAAGAGCCCGAACGACTCACACCACGAAGAGCCCGAACGACTCACACCAGGAAGAAGGGCCCGAACGACTCACACCAGGACGAGAAACCCCAAACCACTCAAATCACGAGGAGCGCTTTCTCTCCCTCCTCCTCCGCCTCGTCCTTCTCCCGCTCCCCTCACAAGGAGGATTTACAAGGAGGCGGGAGGAAGGAGGAACAGGGGAGATATGCGGGGCCAAGCGGACACACGCCTGAAAAACACGACTGCCGGCATGCTTCGCGAGAGTTGCTGCTGTGAGATGGGCGGGTGGGGATACGCGAAGCGTAAAGAATTCATTGCACCGTGGCGTCGGCCCTCTGCCGGCACTGCTTGCACACACTGTGTGCGCGAGCCCCAAGGGGTGTAAACAATGGGCCATGTTGCTTACTCAGGCCCTCCAAGCCATCGGCCTCGCCGTGGCAAGACTCTCCCAGAGCCAACGTTCAAAGCAGCATTCGCACTTCTTTGCACACGAACGACGGCCCACAGCTTTTGAAAGCTCATTGGCAGCACCATCCCAACGTAGGCTCGATGCGTCGCAAGGTGCGTGTGGCATTTCGTCCACGTGCGAGCGCACGCTTAGCTCTGGGTAGTTTCCATGGTGCATTGTGCGGCGGTCCCACAGCTCATGCAGCCAAGGCTCCAAGAACGCCTCATCTTAGATGGATCAAGATGGCTCCAACAACGCCCAAAGACGGCCCAACCTGGCCTCCAAGTAGCACATGATTTTCACAAGACGCCCGAATATGTCCTCCAGGCAACCCAGGAGGCCTCCAAGACACCCCCAACGCGCTCTATGAGGACCCCCAGCAGGGCCTCAATAAGCAACAATCGCCCCAGTCCACTTGGGAAGCGCAT